AATGATCAAATGACAATGAATTTTAAAACCAAAATGTAAGAGTCAGGACACAAGCGTGGCATGAGTACAATCTTCCAGTAGATGTATAATTTTGCCACATGAGTCCCCAAGAACAAAATTAACAAAATCATGACTAAAATGTTGGCTTAAAAAATTAATTAGTAACATTGCCTTATAAACTAAGGATCACACTATGAGATGTATATGAACAGTATTTAACCTTTCCAAACATTCTACCAGTTATTCATTCTGATCTTCAGTTTACAGGTGAGGAGTGTCAGAATTGATGAGTTAAGTCATTTTCCAAGATTTTCTAAGGAGTAGGGGCTTGCGTGAGATTCAAACCCTGACCTGATGCTGGGGCAGGTCGGTTCTCCATGCTTATTTAGGTCAAGGCTAAGCAAAGCCTAGTCTTTGACCACATGTGTAGCCTGTTTGCAGCAGTTCAGAAGAAGAAAATACCACTGTTTAACAGCTGGCAAGGAAGGACATTCACAGAGGTATTGAACAGTTCTGTGAGTTTTGGCTCTGTGAACACTGGACTACGACTGTACTGTTACTTCACTCAAGGAAATTTCACTAATTGGTTTTCTCTCATTCATGTAAGCTTGAAAATACGAATGAATTACTAGCCAACAAATAAATAAATAAAAATATAAAATTTCAGAACAGAAACCTAACCATGGAATTGAAAACACTCTATAGAAAAACTTTAAGATGTATATAAAAGGAAGAAATCAGGGAAGACCTTAGAAGATGCAAAGACATTGTTTCCCCAAAGCATATTGTCTGGAAGAATCAATATTGTGAAAATAGTAACCCTACTAAAAGCATACTACATAATCAATACAGTCCCAATCAATATGCCAGGGACATTCTTCACAAATAGTGTGGAAATAAATGCTGAAATATACATTGAAAGGCTAGAGACACAGGCTGTCCAAGGAAATTCCGAACAAAAGCATTTTTGTGGAAGCCCTATCATACCTGATTTCAAAATAATACTATAGCCATAATAATAAAAATAGGATGGTATTGACACAAAAAGATATGCAGATCAATAAAATAGAATAGAATCCACACAAGCATAGCTATATGGCCTTTGACAAAGAACCCAAATGTCCTTTGGAGAAATGACAGCCTGTTAAGAAAAATGATTCTGGAAAACCTAGATAGAACTAAATGGAAGGACTAAACTAGATGCCTTTACCTCCCTCTAAAAAATCAACTCTAAATGATCAAAGACCTTAATGTGGGACCAAATACTCTGAAACTTGGAGAGAAAATGTAGGGAGAACATTTCAACACAGCAGCATAATCAGGATTGTGTGAATAAGAAGCAAATTCAATAGTTGAGAGTTGACTGTGGAGGCATAAAAGTGTGAGCCTCTTTCCACATTGACCAAAGGTCACAGAGTTTGTAACTTACCTCTATTCCTTGAAGGTTTTTGTGTTTGTGGTTTTTTTTTTAAGATAGGGTTTCTCTATAGCATTGGAGCCTGTCCTAGGTCTAAGTTCTTGTTGACCAGGCTGGCCTCAAACACAGAATTCTGCCTGCCTGTGCCTCCCAAGTGCTGGGATTAAAGGTGTGTGCCACCACCACCCTGCCTAGTTTTTGTGTTTTTACCTCAAACAAAGGTCCCACCTAGATTTAGAGTGAAGAGTTCTGATCTTTCAAGGTTATTGTCAACAGGTGTGGCTAATAGCCAGACCTTGTATTTCAGGAATAGAAAAATAGATATATTTCTACCTCGAACAAAAGTCTAAGAATCCGACTAAGGTTCCAATACCTTTAAGGAAATAGCAATGGATTCCACCCAGGGAGTGGTTTGCCTACAGAATGTTTTGGTCTAGGGTGTGACTTGTTTTATTCTAACAACAAAATTTATGTTTAAATATGGATGTAGTTGAAAGTTTCAACTGGTCTGTTCATTTCCTTGTATCATGTTAATTCAGTTTTTCTTATCTTACTCCTCTCCTTCCTTTTGGGGTCAGGGGTATTTTAAGCAATTGGAAATTGAGGCAATTTTACTATTCACTGGAAATCCCTGTACTATTCTATATTTTTCTGTCTTATTTTTTTGTATTCTTTACTAATATTTCTACATTCCAATGTACTTACCCTGGTGAGTGGTATTTTTGTTGATGCCAGTCCCCAACACTTTATAAATTGGTTATTAAGATGGTAAAACAAGTTCTGTATATAAAAAGAAACTTAATTGGGTAAAGATGCAGTTAAGAATGGGAGAAACTATTTCCCAGCTAATATCTGACAGAAGATCAGTAATACGAGATATTTATGCAACTGAAAATCTAAACAAAAAGCACAATTATGAGGTTTTCCGTAGGAGTAACAACAGAATTCTTAAAGGAGGAAATACACCAGGCTAGGAAACACTTAGGTCTTAGGGAAATACAGGTTAGAATTACTTCTTATTCCTATCTCATCCCTTCAGGATGTCCAATATCAAGAATACAGATGATAACAAATGCTGGAGTGTATGCTAGGACAGAGGAACACTTATACACTGCCTGAGGGACTGTAATATAGTGCAGTCACTGTGAAAATCAATCTGAAGAATTCTTATGAACTAGAAATAGAACTGCTATATAACCCAGCCACACTACTCCTGGTAATATATTCAAAGGCATATATATATATTCTACTATGGAGACATTTGTACAACTGTGCTCACTGAAGTTCTGTTCACAATATTATCTAGGAATGCATCAACCTACATGACCATCAACAGTTAATTCAGTAACGAAAGTGTGACACATATATAGCATGGATTTTTTTTCAGGTGTGAAGAAAATGGCATTATGAAAGTTAAGCATATGCAATGAAAAAAACCCTAGAGGAAGGTGAGCCAGACCCAGAAAGAAAAATACTACATCAGTCAAATGCAGGTTTGATCCTGGAGTCATTAGTTCTGGGGCTTTAACTGGTGTACCCTAGGAAAACAGAAAACTAGAGAAAGGGTAGGGCCTTAAGGGAGAAAAGGACAGTAGTATATTGGTAAAATGAGGGCAGAGAGAAAAGAATACTGTGGGTATAAATGTTCAAATATCAAGAAGGTTGGGGGATGGAGGAGAGAAGGGAGTGGGTTACTAATGAAGACAGTATTTAAAAGTCACAATGGAACCTATTATTTGTAACCCAATACAAAATCATAAGAAGAGCTAGAATACAAGACACCCTATGAAGATTCAAATGGGAGATCCTAGAAGCAATGAGTTTCACAAACAAAAGTCAGTTCCAGAAGTGGGATATCTCCATAGGAGCTGCTGGGCAGGGAGGTCCTCGGTGTTCCCTAGACAAAACAGGTGCTTTCATTCTTCTCTGTTCTCAATCAGAACTGGTGGATAAGACCTCATTGCTGAAGACAGCACACATCTTGGGTACATAAATTCAAACTGGAACTGAGTTGGAAGTTTCCTTTTGATCCTAAGTTTTATAATGTCAGATGATGCTATATAGGCTGTTGAAGAAGAAAAAGCATCGGCAACCATGCTGCCAGGCAAGATGGTCCCTTTGCTGCAATAATGGCACAACTGTAATCTTTGAAGGTCTTAGGCCCTTGAGATAAACTACTGGTACTGCCTACATAAATGGACAAAGTGTCAATTTCCATCTAAATATCAATGTTTATACCACAGACAAAGGCTACTTTCAGTCTTCACCAGAAAAGCCTCTCTTTGCTTTCAATGGAGGTGACTGCAGATGCCTACAGCTGTGCAGGATACTGAGAATAAGGGATGGTTGAGTACTCATCCCTATAAGTAGATAATTATATTGCCCCTGGAGGCTCTAGGAACATTGTGGAAGAGAAATTGGAAAGAATGTAGGGAAGGGAAATATGGGGAAGGGCTGTGCAGACATGGAGAAAATGTGGAGAAGATATAGATAAGAGGTTGTGCTCTCTTCTAAGCATGACATGACCATGGCCATCATGAACTCATAGCACCTGCACCTACTGCCTCTGGACCCACACAAGTAGGGCCCTAGACGTGGGGAAGCAGCTCAAAGAGACAGTACTACTTACTGCTTTACTATTGACAAATAATAGATTATGGGAGAATAGGATGCATACAATCTGTCTGTACCCACTGGTGAACTCGCTTGCTTCTACTGGGTAGTTCAAAACTCACAGACACACAGATGATTCTACACAAAATCCATGAGACACAAGCAAAAATTTATGAAAATGGAGAAGAGATGAAGAAAAGAAGAGGGGCTGACAGGAGCAGGAGGGAGCTAACAAGGTGAGTTTAGGATGGAATTCCTAGAATGCATTGTATACATGTATAAAATTGTCAAAGCACAAAAAGGGCTTAATATATCTGGATTTAAGACCAGGAATCTCATGATGGAAAAATCCCTTCATTTTCACTGTTCATATTTAAATGCGAACTGTTGCAAGATTGCTTTGTGCATCTCAAAATCTGTCATTTCAAGGACATTGGGAGTAGAAAACACATTACAGGACTGAGAAAATGGGGCTTAGGGTATGCAGTGGTTTGGATGTAACGTGTTCCATGATCATTTGTTGAAAGATTGTTTCTGCAGCAGCAATTGTCATGAGGACTGTGGTGTGATGAATGAACACACACACTAGTGCACTCATAATTGCATGAACACTGAGAATGGTATTGGAAACCATGAGAGTGCACAGTTGGAGGAACTGGGTCACTGGAGGTACATCCTGGAATAGAATATCTTGCATGGGCTTTCTGCCTTTTCCTTCTCCTCCTCCTCTACTCTCCCTCCTCCTCTGTCCCTCCTTCTCTTCTGTTCTCCTTCTCTTCACCTTTTCATGCTCCTCCCCTCCACCCTTGCTCTCACTCTAACCCTAACCATCTGTTTGTTTTGGATCTAGCAAAAGCCACATAACTAATCTGGCTATTTCGTGACACCAAGAATTAATGACAATTAATGTCTTTCCCCACTCATTGCTTTTTTTCAACCTTTGGGTTATCTGGACCTAATCTAATTTTACCTGGCTTCAGCAAGGCTTCCCATTTGAGATTCCTATTCTTTTTGTCTCTGATTTGCAATTTAATCACCGAATCCATGCGGCCAACATAGATCTCAGAGAAGAGCTGGGATTCCCCAGGGCTCCGGTAGCACAGCTCCAGTTCCTGAAGGGGGTGAGGACAGATTCTGTTTCAGAAGCCTCTACTCAAGAGAACAAGCATTTTCCACACCCCTGTACTTATTCTTTCACACCATAGTAGACACTGGCTTAGACACTTAGTATCTTTTGCATTGAGTTAACCTATAGTTTTTGAATGCACATCTTTACTCAGAAGGCTGGATCATTGCCGAGGAGGACACAGAAGATATGTAGCAACAGAAAACATGGGGCATGCTAATGGACCCAGCTGGGACCCACATAATACTATTCATTTTCTCATCCACGCTGACAAAAGTATGGCAGGAAACAACTTAAGGGAGGGCTTATATTGTTGTTTAGTGAGAATTCATCTTGAAAGTCCTGCTCACACATCTTAAGCCAAGACTTGCTGCATGTTAGGCTTTTGCCTACACTGTGCAATATTAAAATTAATTCCTCAATTCTCCAGACCTTCTGCGTGATTCCTTAAATTGCTTTGCACTTAACTTGGAAGTTTTCTTGATCATCCCAAAGCCCAAATCATTTCTCCTCAAACTCAATTTGCTGTAAATCCTTATAACTTGCCCCAAATCTGGCATCTGATCATGTAAAGGAGCAAACAACTGGATGCTCACCTTTGGAATGATTTCCAGGTTCTTGGAAGCAGACACTATGTACCGTGAGCCAATGTAAAGAGAGTCTACTGGGGGTGGCTTGTGTATTCGGACAAACTGAAAACTCATTTCTTCTTCATTAATGGCCTAGGGAACATTGCAGACAGCAATTTAACTAGATTTCAGTACTACAACAGATAACTGGTCTGAGTAAGGTATATTGGTTGATCAGTACATTTTTGTGTGATGGGTGATGTCACCTCCAGGGAACCCTTCTGACTTGTATTACGCCATACAGATTGTTAATTATTGGCCTCTGTCATGTTCATTATGGGAACTGTGTCCCTGACAGAGAGAATGGAGTTTGCTATATGTTGGATGTGTAGAATTTCCATTCTTTTGATGAGTGGAAAGAGGCCATAGAAGGCTGTGCAGAGACAAGGGGGTGTTAAAGACAGTTAAGGAAACTCAAATGTGAGGAGGCCAAGAGGATTGCATTCTCATAAACATCAGGGATCCTCTTATAAAACTGAATCCCCACTTCCACTCGAAGTAGAGAATCTCTCTAAGGGTTTTTTTTTTGTTTATTTGTTTGTTTTTTGTTTTTTGTTTTTGTCAATCCACCATAGCCCCACATTTCTGGTCCTCGGTGTCACCTTCTGAATGGTGCAGTCGTTGGGTATCAGGTAGAGATGAAGGGTGACTTCATTGAGATTGAGTTGATAGTAGATCAATGTACTGGAAGTGATGCGGATGAGCCGCCTGACAGCAGGGATCTTTCTCAGTAGAACTCCCATTGGGGAGAAGCTTGGGTTTTCCAAGACTGTGTAGCACTGCTCCACTTTGGCTGGCACTTCTAGGACCATCCCATGTTCTTGAAAGTGGGCCACACGGAACAAGGTGGTGTCTACCCGTCTCTCTGTGAAAGAACAGATTCAAAAGAGTAGATTTAGTGTTTCTACTGAACTGTGCTTGGCTGGAAAAAGAGCCTACTAAGATTTAGAAGGAATCCACTGTGTCTTATTGGATCACCACAGAGTAAAGATAGAATTCAATAACAATACTACTCCCAGAAAGTCTACAAACTCAGGGAAATTGAACATTCAACTACTGAACCATCCCTGGGTCAAAGAAGAAATAAAGAAAGAAATTAAAGTCCTCCTTGAATTCAACAAAATGAAGGCACAACATATCCAAACCTATGGGACACTATGAAAGCAGTGCTTAGGGGAAAGTTCATAGCACTAAGTGCCCACATAAAGAAAACTGATAAAGCTCACATTCTTGACTTAATAGCACACCTGAAAGCTCTAGAACAAAAAGAAGCAGATTCACCCAGGAGGAGTAGAAGATAGAAAATAATCAAATTGAGGGCTGAAATCAACAAAATAGAAACATAGAAAACAATACAAAGAATCAATGAAACAAAAAGCTGGTTCTTTGAGTAAAATCAACAAGATTGACAAACCCTTATCTAAGCTAATCAAAGGCAGTGAGAACATCCAAATTAACAAAATCAGAAATGAAAACGGGTACATAACAACAGATACTGAGGAAATTCAGAGAATCATTAGGTCTTACTACAGAAACCTGAACTCCACAAAATTGTAAAATGTAAAAGAAATGGACAATTTTTTTAGATAGACACCATATACCAAAATTAAATCAAGACCAGGTAGGCAATTTAAATAGATCTATAAGCTGCTAGGAAATAGAAGCTGTCATCTAAAATCTCCTAAACAAAATAGCCCAGGTCCAGATGGTTTTAATGCAGAATTTTACCATAACATCCAAGAAAAGCTAATACCTATACTCCTCAAAGTGTTCCACATAATAGAAACAGAAGGGACATTGCCAAACTCTTTTTATGAGGTTGCAGTTATCATGATACCAAAATCAGAAAAAGACTCAACCAAGAAAGAGAATTACAGACCAATCTCACTCATGAACATGGATGCAAAAATTCTCAATAAAATACTGGCAAACAGAATCCAAGAACACATCAAAAAATCATCCATCATGATCAAGTAGGCTTCATCCCACAGATGCAGGACTTGTTTGACATATGAAAATCTATCAATGTAATCCATACTATAAATAAACTGAAAGAAAAAACATATGATCATTTCATTAGATGGTGAGAAAGCATTTGACAAAATTCAATACCCCTTCAATGATAAAGGTCTTGGAGAGATTAGAGATACAAGGATCATATCAAAATATAATAAAAGTAATATACAGCAATCCAAAAGTCAACATCAAATTAAATGGAGAGAAACTCAAAGTGATTCTACTAAAATAAGGAGCAAGACAAGGCTGTCCACTGTCTCCACATGTCTTCAACATAGTTTTTGAAGTTTTAGCAATAGCAATAAGACAACAAAAGGAGATCAAAGGGATTCAAATTGTAAAGAAAGAAGTCAAACTTTCGTTATTTGCAGATGATATAATAGTGTAGATAAATGAACCCAAAAACTCTACCAGAGAACTCCTACATTTGATAAATACCTTCAGTGATGTGGCATCATACAAGATAAACTCAAAAAAAAAAATAAGGACCCCTCCTATACACAAATGATAATGAAGCTGAGAGGGAAATCAGATAAATATCACCTTTCACAATCGCCACATATAACATAAAATATTTGGGGGTAATACTAACCAAAGAAGTGAAAGAAATATTTGACAAGAACTTTAAGTCTTTGAAGAAAGAAATTGAAGAAGATACCAGAAAACGGAAAGATTTCCCATGCTCTTGTATAGGAAGGATCAACATAGTAAAAATGCAATCCTACCTAAAGCAATCTATAGGTTCAATGCAATCCTCGTCAAAATACCAACATAGTTCTTCACAGACCTTGTAAGAACAATATTAACTTCATATGGAAAAACAAGAAAACCAGGATAATCAAAACAATCCTATACAATAAAGGAACTTTCAGAGGCTTTACCATCCCTGACATCAAGCTCTATTACAGAACTACAGTAATGAAATTAGCTTGGTATTGGCATAAAAACTGAGATGTTGAGCAATGGAATGGAACTAATGGCCCAATATTAATCCACACAGCTATGAATACCTGATTTTTGACAAAGAAGCTAAAATTATACAATGGAAAAAAGAAAGCATCTTCAACAAATGGTGCTGGTATAACTGGATGTCAACATGTAGAAGAATGAAAACAGATCCATAACTGTCACCATTCACAAAACTCAAGTCCACAAATGTAAATCTTTAAGGAAGTGTTTCCTCATGGTCAGCACATCTTACAACTGTTGTCTGGGGTAACCACGTCTCAAGCTGCCAGCAGAGAGCAGTCTCAAGCTGCCAGCAGTGTTATTCCTATAGTTTTTAGGCATGAAAAATGCTAGATTGATGGTTTACTGAGTCATGCTGCACTGTTTCAGATAGTAGGTGAGTCCAGCCAATGTGCCCGAGTCAAAGAACCTCCAAGGATCCTGAGAGCTCATTCTATGTACCTTTGGAAATGAAGCCGAAGGTGGAATGGAAATCCTTGGATATTGTAGAAACCAGAACCACATATTATTTCTGCTCAAAAAAGTTTTAGGCAAGGAGTAGAGAGATGGTCTAAGGAGAGGTTATGTGTGCTTCATGTGACAGAATTGGAGAGGTGGAGCTCTCTGTGTCATTCAGAGACCAGTGAATGACATCATGAGCTCCATAGCTGGATATGAAGCTGCAGGATTTGGTGTTTATGTTGATAGAGTTTGTGTCCTTGATATGCCCAGTTTCTTCTGTTTTGAAATGGAAATCTCCATTCTGTATCATTTTATGTTGAGAGTATGTAAATTCTTTTCTATTTTATTGGAGCTCATAGTGAAGCATTGTCTTAAATCCCAAATAAGAGGAGGTCTTTATGAACTTTTTATTTTACCTATGGACCCTTGTAATTGGATTATACTTTGCATTTTTAGAGAAAACCAAATCTTTGGAGGCATGAGGCAGAAAGTAAAGATTTAAAGTGATGTGCCTGTGTGCCAAGTTGACAATGGTTACAATAATGGTGTTGAATGCCACTTGTAAACTTGGTGTGACCACTGCTAGTTGGGGCACCACTCTGAAATTCACCTTTAGCCTGTCCTTTTTGCACTGAGTTTGCTTCAAATTGAACCACGACAAAGAGCATTACAGTGTGTTTTGTTTAGCTAAGAACATTTGTATTTCTTTTTGGTGATTGCTTGGAATCAATAAGCAGCAAAGAATGAGACAATGACCCTGATGCTCCAGGAAGTGGTGTAGCTTAGAATTTAATCAGTGATGCTAGGTAGCCATATCAGATGGAGCCACCAGCACTACAATGTCCTGTGTGTGCCTGTGTGGGGCCTTGAAACCCCATCTTTCTCCAAGTCATCTTTAACTTCAGTACCAGATCCTGACACCCATGCTTTGTGTTTTGCCAATTTTGACAAAATTTGGGGAGATGCTGTACCTCTCCAACTTCCCTTCTTTCTAGGAAAAATGCTAGCCAGTACCTTCCTAGGGCTTGAGGGAAATGTGGGATACTGGAGTTTTCACTGTTAATACCAGAAGTTTACTTAACAAGAAAATGATTTACCAAGTTCTTTAATTTATTTTCTCAGTTTGGGTTTTTGATACAGGGATTTACTACCTATTTGTGGATATAAATTATAAATCTCCTGCCTTAACCTCAGGAATTCTGACATTACATGTATATGCCACCACATGGCCCTGGGATTGTCCTTCTCACATGTATTGGGGCTTCCATACACTGTAACAGAATCATTTCCTTTCAGTATCCAGTGGGGAAATTGTCTAATCTGAGAGAGTGAGTAGGAAACAGAAAAGACTGCTGTCTGCAGGGAAGAAGCTTGAGTGGAGAGTGGGGCAAGTGTTGCTGGAAGACAAGGAGCTCGGTGTGGAGCTGCTGGACTGGCCACGGACACATTAGGGAGGCCCCATCCGTGTAGCAGTGCTCCCCTTCTGTGTGTGTGCATGTCAGTATTATTTTTATTTGTTTTCTGAGTTATTTTTCAATTGGGTCTTGCTTGATTTCTTCACCTTTATTTTTCTTCCTGTGGGATTGCCTTTTACTGTGAATATCTTAACTTGGGAATATCTTAACTGTTTTCTATTCATTGTTCTCCTATTGGCTGGAGCAGCCTGAGTTTCTGTTTTACTTCTCATGACTTTTTCACTGTTAGGTCTCTCCTGTTGTGGCTGTTCATCACCCTTATAACAGGAACAAACACTATCTTCTGCTGTGAGTTGGATTCTCCTGGTGTCTACGTTGGGCTTCTTGTAGCCAGAGAAGTAATTGACCTCAGTAGCTACTTGTACAACACATGGTTCCTTGTTGTTGTTTTTTCCTTTCTCAAGCAGAGTCTGGCTGTGTAGTCTACCTGCTCTTGCATTTCAAATTCTCTTGTCTCAGTCTCCAGAGAGCTGTAGTAATGGCTTTCATCATGAGGTCTTTCATGTGGTATCTTGTATTTATTATAATATCATCTGAAGAAATCTTTGGTGATGACTGAATCTGGGACAATTTATGAGACCCCCCCTCTTTCCTTAGGACACCATTATTCTGTGGCTCCAGTTCTCAAATGAAATCCGAGGACATCATTTTCTCCCTGTCTGTAGCAATGTAGTGGAGTGTTGGTAGACTTTGGGTACAAAATGATCCCTGTTATTTTCCTTTCTAACAATCTCTTCACATTGTTCAATTTATTCTCTGTTTCCTGCTGGACTCTTGTGAGATATGCTGTGTAAAGGGCACATACTAAGTACCAGCTAATAATTATTATTGAGGACATCACTTTCCCCTTAGGGACTCCATTAGTTAACACAAAAATAAAGTGTTATAAATAAAGAAATAAATTAAGGTTAAGAGACATTTGTTTCAAAGAAGAGAGACATGTGTTTCAAAGAAGATACATCATAGAAGGGATGACAAATCATCTCAGTCTCCAGTTTCATAACCTGCTTTGCCCTGCTAAGGAATTCATAGACCTTTCCTCATTACTCACCACCCTACACTGTCCTATATGACCTCTCAGTTCCCATTCCCATTACCCTACTAATTTTTTGAGACAGGGTTTCTCCGTGTAACAGTCCTGACTGTCCTAGAACTCACTTTGTAGACCAGGCTGGCTTTGAAATCACAGAGATCTGCCTGTTTCTACCTTCTGAATGCTGGAATTGAAGACATGCACCATCATTACCTGGCCTCCAGCCTACTCCTTCTGCTTCCCTTGGTTACCTTGGAGATCCACAAAGTGAGGGAGGTGCACAGCAGCCACAGCTCCCTGCTCAGCCTTGATGTCAAACAGAGGCCCAGCCACCATATGACTGTCCTGCAAGGGAGTCTTGTCCAGGTGTTGTCTCCAGGCACAGAATCCAATCTCGATGGTCACTGCCCTTGTCACCACAAAGGAGAGTCCTATGTTGGGACAGTGGTAGTAACCAGCCACAGGGAACTGAACTCTAGAAGACATAAAGGGAGACACCAGTGAACACCAGCACTGTCCACCTGCTGAATGCAGACCATGTGCTGGACTGGGGACACAGCACAGTTCAGCCAGATAGATCTGAGTTCTGGTTCTTCTGTTATCTGTAGGTGGATCCCTGACTAAATAAGTCATTGAACTCCTAAATCTGTTTCTTCATCTGTACATAGGGGTAATGACAACACCATCTTCTAGACCTGAGAGTACTGAATGTTCTAGAGTAAACCCACAGGTGACACACACCTGGAGCAGTTAGCTATTTCTGAGATGAAGATGATGATAGTGATGAAATATGTTTGTGTGTGTGCGCGTGTGCGTGTGAAGTTCTGTGGTTCAGACTAGTACCTTGTGCACACTAGACAAGGGTTCTACCATTAAGGTACACCATCTATTTTTAGTGTTTATAGTCTTTAAGAATATATTCTCTAAAATAAGAGTCCATTGGCTAATTTTAGTGATAAATCCTTGGCCCTGAAACAATGCTTTACCAAGATCTTCAGAGATTTTCTTCAGGCTTCCTGCCTGGTGACTGGTGGGTGGACAGGAGTCAGCTTCTGTGGGAAGAAGTTAAAGTGACAGTTTCTCCAGCTGAGACAGTGACTGTGACAGTGTTAGGGGAGGATACAGGTTATGTTGGATACTGTGACTGTGGGTATAGTCACTCATTACTCATGAGACTAATTCTCAGAGGTCAGGGCTGCAGTACACATCCTCATGGCCTCAACTCCTAGTGGGTTCTTGCTACACAGTGGTTTTAGTAAGCAGGAGTGCAGAGACTACAGGGATTTGAGGGAAATCCAAGAGACAGAAGACACCCAATATAATGATGGCAGGGATGCTGCTTACAGCAGGAATAAAATAACCAGCAGAAAGTCCTCATTTCAGATCATGAGCAAAGCTGAGAACAGACCGTTTAGATGGAATGAAGGATTCAGGCCGTCTCTGTTGATGTGGTAATGGTGTGCTGGTCATGGAAGATGAGGTCCTGTTTTAACTAAAATGGAGGCATGAGTGTGGTTACTTCGGGAGCAAGCTAGCTGGGTGGGATGGAACAAAAGGCCTATTCCCCTCATTTCTACAGTTTGGCGCTCCAACGTGATGGACTAAATCCACTTAAAAACCTGAGAGGGCTTAAAAAGGAATTCTACACACAAATCTAGAGTTTAACACAGCTTTTTGCTGTTTGCTAGGACATGCTGTAGAGAGATTTCCTGATTCAGCAATCGCAGCAGAAAAAAAAAAAAAAGCCGTGTCATTTTAAAACTCAGCTTTCTGGGTTGTGCCGCCAGTGCAAACTCCGGCTATAAAGCATTTCAATGGTTCTTGTGGGATCGGATGTTTTTGTGCCTGATCGGGATGGGGAAGAATTACTCTGAGACCATGCCAATGGCTTGGCGCTCTCTGCCTGGGCAGGCAGCAAAATCAGGTTTACCAGGCGTGCACAAGCAGGAGAGCATGGCAGGTTTCTGCTGCCATACAGAGAGATGTTTCCAGGCTGCACAGTGCTCTGCATGGCAGATTTGACTGTATGTGCTGCACACTCATTCTCCTAGTTAAAGCGCTAGGTGCAGCTCCTACCTGGTGATCCCAGAGCTACCAAAATGGTACGTTCACCATTTTGAAATTGGAGAGAGGTGGAGCCAACATCCAGAGCAGCTCCACCATGCTAGCGGTACAGTGCCCAGGGCTCAGAGGCACAAGCAGCTCTGCCATGTTGGACTTGGCAGGGCAAGCAGGCCCTACCTGTATTTGACCTGGGATTGTTGCAACTTAGATTCTTAAGAGCTTATCATTTTAAAAAGCTCTTTAAGACAGTAGAAAATTAAAGACAATGCAATAGGACATATTCAGACATAAAAGACCTCTAAATGGGTCATAGTGTTAGATAGACATATATAGGCTTGGAGGAGAAAAGAAAGAGTATTAAAAAGTCATAAAATAAAGTTAATGTTTAAAAAAGGTAAAGTCTTTTAAGAGACAGAGTACAGATAGTCATAGATTAAAAGAAGTAAAGAAAAAATAAGCCACGTAAAAATAGAAAATTCACAGAGAGTCTGGATTACATGTATTATTGTGTTTTTTTTCAATTTTTTGACTGTGAAGTAGCTAAATACAGAGAGACATTTCATTGTGTGGTCTGCTAAGCTGAACCAGCATATATGTTCTAAAGGTATCATGACTTACAAATTTGGGTCTAAGGATATGGTGCTTTGGAAAAGAGGTTCTTCTTTTGTTTTCACAGAAGATGAGACCCTATGGATTGCATTTAGACCAATATGGTATGATAAACCACGCCCTCCTGAAAGGTTTCTGTGAACACCCTTAAAAAATTATTCTGTTCAACTGCTGACTGAAAGAAACCTAGCAAGCAGGATATACCATGAAAGACCTAAATAACAGTGCCCCCATACAGTATAAAGCAATTTGGAGAGAAAAAACTACGCCCATATTCCTAAATATTGTTTATAAGTGTTCTTTTACATTTAAAGGGGGAGATGATGTAGATATAATTAATTTATATTGGTATGAATCTTGGTTTGTTGATATAAATTTAAGGTCAATTTTGTTATATGTATATGTATTTCTGCTCTTGATTAAGGTATTGTGATTGTGTAGTTCATTTTAAAAATGTAATGTATAGTTAGGAAATATAGGTTGTTAATGGATAATCATCGATAATAGTCAAGCTTGTAGTCGTGTTAGTTAGATTTTCTAGATATATATGGAAAGACATTTCAGTTAGATAGGCATTCTTCATATCTTTCAAAGACTACAGAATATGGCATTTAAGATGTTATAATAAGTTAGGGCTTTTCATGACAATGAAACATGTCTGCTCCTGGCAGCACCAAGCTATTTCAGAGGAAGATGGGCATTGAAGAGGCTCCTTATGGAATTGGTTAGCCTTTGGGGCAAGAAACTGCTCTTGCCTGGACTGTTGCATAAACTGGACATGAAGAACCTGCAGATAGAGGACTGCTGAATTTGGCTAAAGGTGAGATGGTCCTTCAGGGTTCCTATTTCATGAAAGATTCTGTGAGACATTTTGGACACAGAAGAAAGTGACTGAACTGTCATTGAAATTTCCTGCTTCATGGAAAAGTCTGCTGGATACTATGGACCTATAGACTGAAGATGCCCCAATGGTACAGAAGAACTTTGGGTGACTGTCCAGGCAGCGAGACGTCTCTGTCAATTCTAGAGTTTTGTAAGTTGCTTACTTCTTGTTTGCTTAGGTAACATTATATCCTTCTGGAGTCTTTGATGGAATTGAAGAATGATTAGTTATAGTTATAGTTTTACTTAGTTATGATAAAAGATGAAATAGATATAAATATTATGACTATAATTCTTGCTTGATAACTGTTTTGTTATATGTAATTTTACTATGTTAAAATGAAAGCCTTTCGTTTTTTGTTTAAACAGAAAAGGGGAAATGGTGTAGGAGGTCCTTCTGTATTTGTGTTGATTTCATTGGTTGAATAAAGAAGCTGCCTTGTCCTTTTTTAATATGGCAGCCCTTAGGTGGGCGGAGTAGACAGAACAGAATGCTGGAAAGAAGGGAAGTGTGGCAGACACCATGATTCTCCTGCCTGAGACGGACCCTGGTTAGACTCATACTGGTAAGCAACAGTCTAGTGACAATATATATTAATGGAAATGGGCTAATCAAGATGTGAGAGTTAGCCAATAAGAGGCTAGACCTAATGGCCAGACAGTAATTTAATTAATACAATTTCCATGTGGTTATTTCGGGAGCAAGCTAGCTGGATGGGATGGAACAAAGGGCCTGTCCCCCCCCTTACAACACATGGGGATAGGGAAATGGAAATGTTTATGTGTAAAATCTAATGTCCTAGATTCACACTACTGTGACAGTGATGACAAAGGAGGAATGTAAATAGGTTTTAAAAAGTATGGAAAGTGTGCTGGGGAAAGTCACCTTTTCTAGGTAGAGCTCACTCACCTGTACACGTTCCTTTCTCTGTCAATCACCTCTGTAGCCACAGGTCCTGTAGGGCCCCAGAAGTCATCTTCAGTACCCAGTGATTCCATGTGTTTGTAATCTGGAGAGGTAGGGGAAGATGGGTATAAGTGGTATAAATTATGAACACCATTCCTCTAGAATAGGCAAGGCAGAGGTCAGTCTGTGTTTTTCAGACTCATCTCCCCAGCTTTTCCCAGTGTTGGACCATGACTGAACTCTTTTCCAGGTTCTCTAGCCTAGGTATTAGCAGGAGGTATGCCTAAAGATTTTATCACTGCTCATCAGGCTACCTGCATGCTTTTCATTTACATATAAATGAATATATTAATATATTATATAATAAACAACACACATACACACACACACACACACACACACACACACATATATATATGTAAAATGTCTTTCCACTGTGCTTCTTAAGCAACTATTCCACCATAATACCTGCCTCCATGCCAGCGGCAGTGTTTTCTTTCTTACTGGTCCATAAGTGTTGATTTTCCTAGTGTGTCTCAAGTGGTATGGTGAAAAAGAAAAGAATGTAACTCAAACTATAGATGAGCAGGGATAGGGAGATGAGTACCAGGCCACAGCATCTAGGAATGAGACACAGAGTCCTGGGATAGAGCTGAATGCAAGTCATGGACTTGAGAAAGGGTCATCAGCAGCCCACAAAATCTGGGAAAGAAGCAAACAGTATTCCCTCTGGTTTCTAAGTGAGGAATATCTTGTAAGGGGTGGTGCTCTTATTGGAGAGTCTGTATGGTTCCTTGTCAAGGACAGGAATACAAACAATGACTACTTCCACAGCATCTGTTGCAGATAATTTGTTTTTGTTTTTGTTTTTGTTTTGTATATGACTGGGACAATCTACCAATGAAATCTCAGCAATATCTCTGCCTCAACAAGATCTTCACAGTGACAGAACTATGAATTAGTTGACAGGCTAATGTGGATGGAGGAAATCTCATAATGTCCGACTCCTAAATGAAAATCTATAAGCATTCTTGCTAGCCCCATAATGGCTCCCTCAACCAAGATGTCTCTTTCCTTGTTCTCTGTCTCTGTCCTTCCCCCATCTTGATCATCCCATTTTCTCTAGCTCTCCTTTCCACTCCCTTTTTCCCCTCTAACTCCCCTTCTACTTTCCCTTTTCCCCACACCCCATGCTCCCAACTTTGTCAGGAGATCTTGTCTATTTCCCCTTCCCAGGGAACCTATGTATGTTTCTGTTAGGGTTCTTCTTGTTACTTAGGGTAACACAAGGGCTGGCTTGTTGGGGTTTCTATCCTGCCCGGTACCCCACAGCTGACAAGTACCAAAGAAAATCACACAGAGGACTCCATAAGATTATAAACTGATTGGCCCTTAGCTCTGGCTACTTATTAGCTCTTATAACATATATTACCCCATTATCCTTATCTACATTAGCCATATGGCTTGGTACCTTTTTCAGCTGTCAGCTCACATGTTGCTTCTTCGGTGATCTGGGCAGGAGAGTAGGAAGCTCCCTCCACCAGTCCTTCCTCTGCAAATGTCCCTTGTCTGGATCCACTTCCACTCCCATAGAGCTCACCTGGTGCAAGAGAATTGTCTGTAATCTGTCAATCATATTTTAAATAAATGCTGATTGGCCAAGCAGGAAGTGTAGGTGGGAACACCAGACAGGAAGTAGAGGTGATGCAATAAGAACAGGAGAATTCTGGGAAACAAGAAGCTCCCTCCACCATTCCTGTCCATCAAAGTCCTCTGTGTGATTTTCTTTGGGACTTGCCAGCTGTGGGGTACCGGGCAGAACAGAAACTCCAACAAGCCAGTCCTCGTGTTACAACTTAGCTTCTCTGGGGTCTTAAACTTTAGGTTCTTTATCCTTGCTTTACAGCTAGTAAATACCTATGAGTGGGTACATACCATGTTCATCTTTCTGGGTCTGGGTTACCTCACTCTTTTTCTAGTACCATCTAGTTGCATGCAAATTTCAAGAGGTCATTGTTTTTTTTTAACCTCTGAGTAGTTCTCCACTGTTTAAATGTACCACATTTCCTTTATCAATTCTTAAGTTGAAGGTTAATTCCAGGTTATTATGAATAAATATGCTATGAACAGTCCTTGTACTAGAGAAATTCCCAAGAATTCATAAGGATGACCCCAGATAAGTCCCCAACCAATAGTGGAGAGGGTGCCTGAACTGGCCTTGCCATGTAGTCAGACAGATGACTATCTTAAATGTCATCATAGAACCTACATCCAGCAACTTATGGAAGTAGATACAATAAATCACAACAGAGCATTGGGCTGAGCTCCCAAAGTCCAGTTGAAGAGAGGGAGGATTGAGAATATGAACAAAAAGGACAGGACCCTGATGAGGATACCCACTTATATAATTTACCTGAGCTAATATAAGCCTTCCAACTAAAGCCTTACAGCAAGGGAACCAGCATAGGCCCTCTGAATGTGGGTAACAGTTGTATGGCTGGGGCAGACTGTGGGGCCACTAGCAGTGAAACCAGGATTTATTTCTACTGAGTGTTTTGACTCTTTGGAACCCATTCTCCCTGGAGGGATACCTTGCTCAGTCTAGATATAGTGGGAAGGGCCTTGGTCCTGCCTCAAAGTAATGTGCTAGATTTTGTTGACTTCCTATGGCAAGGCTTATCCTCTCTGAGGAGTGGATGGAGGGTAGAATCCGGAGTAAGAGGGAGAAGGTGCAGGGAGAAGGAGGAGGGGAGGGAGTGGGAAATGAATTTGGCATGTAAAATGAGAAAAGATAGTTTAATAAAAGAAAAAAACCTACAAGCAATTAATAGCTGGTAGGAGAGGGAAAAAATCAGTCTTCTTGAGGAATAGCTTCATAAAAGGGTATCTAGTCCCAAGTGGTCAACCTAAAACATACAAATGACCAATACCAAATGGATTCATCAAGTTGTGCTTATATATACGTATGCATATATGTGTAAATACACATGTAATTAACAATAATGCTTAAGAACAGCTCAGGAATTTGAGACAGAGTTTGTTGGTGTGGAACAGGAATTGTTGAAGCAGACAGAATGAGGGCTGGAAATGATGTAAATGTAGTATTTGTGTATTAAATTATAAAATAAATAAAGAAAGAAATGATGACATCCTCCCACAGATGCCCCTTCATTTGGTAATCATGATGCTCTGGGTCTGAACCCTTCACGTACCTGACTGTGGTCTCTGTGGCTTGAATGAGGTCACACTGTTACCCACTCCTTTTCCTTCCGGGTTCTTAGTAGGGCTCATCACACGTGGCTTCCTACATATAGATATGTTCTTTCCCTCAGATTTCAGGAGAAACTATGGAAACCAGGGCTGTGTACACAGTATCCCAACTCATCTGAATAATAATAATAGAATCCAACTCATCTGAATTTGAACTCAGTTCCATGTTTCTTCTCTGGGCCAGAACTCTATGAAGTCCCCATCCTCCCAGGCATCCATGGTGCTAGAACAGGGATCATCTCAACTCCTCTTTTGCTTTAGCTTGAGTGTGTTCCCCAGTGTTTACTCATTAGAAAGTTAATCCCCAGTGTCACAGTGTGATAGGATAAAGGATAAGATACAAGGAGGTCACAAGTGCTCTGCTGTCATGAAGGGGTTAATAACATCATCACAGGAGTAGATTCCTGTGCCCTGACAGGACTTGTTACAAAAGCCACCTTGGTCTCTCACTCTCAGCCCTCCCAGTGGCACAGTCAGATGGGACAGGAAGAAGGATTCTTTCGATGCAGGGTCCATGTCCTGGCTCTTCCCTGTATCCAGAACTGCAAGAAATAATCTCAATTCTTGATGTTAAGCGCCCAGTGTCAGACATTGTGTTATAACCACATAAAACAAACAATCACTCACCTTGAATGCTAACCACCTAGATAGGACCTTTTGAATCTCTCTCCTTTATATTTACTACTCTCCACCTCCACAGACTCAACCCTTGTCCCAGGAAAGACTGAACATTGTTCCTATCCTCTGCAGCATCCTCTGGCTGGTGTCCCTGTTTCTGATTTGGTCCCTGCTAGTTTATTTTCTACATAGAGGCTGACCATAAATAAAGGGTGAGGATGCTCCATCATGACCAAGGTGCTGAAACGATTCTCATTTCCTCTGGGTAGTTGCAGAAGGTTCTTAGGGTGGTTCTTAGTTCTTGCCATGACCCCTGTACCCCTCCAGGCCTTCCTATGTCACCCTTTCCTACTCAAATCAAGACCAGTGGCTCTCAAATCCCTGCTTTAAAGTGTCACCTGAACAGCCTGCTAAATCAGAAAGCTCACTGAAGGAAGCTGTTCCATCTGAGATTCTGAGTTAGCAGGGATGGCGTTTGGCCTGAGAACCTGCATTTCTGTGCAGGGCTCAGGTGATGTTGAGGCAGAGGTGATGGTATTGACACATGGTTTCTGTCCCTCATCGGAACTGCTCACTCTCTGCTTCCCTATCCTATGTTTCTTCCTGGAATTTTCTTCTCCTATCAACCCCACAACTCTCATCTTTCAGAGTTCACCTTAGCTCATCTCAGCTTTGAAATGAAGTCAGATAGACCGCCTCTGCACTCATGAGGTTCCCAGTACAATTTCTTTGAACTGTGGGGAATTGTGTCCGCCTCACTGCTGAACTGAGATAATAAATGTTGAACCTGTCTGCTTTGTTAACCTATGTGCCCTCAGATCTCCAGTGTATGATGCACAACGGGTCTTGCACAAATGTTCGTTCAATGATGGACCACTATCCTATGTAGAGATCCTCCCTGTTACATGTGGCATGACAGTAGGAACTTGAGGACAGATTGAATTCATGGTCATGAACTGAAATTGACTAAACTGGGAGAGCATGGGGCTTCAACACTGCACCTGGGCATGGAAAATGAGTTTCCAACCCTGCGGCTTTATATCCCATAGTGCAATGTGCGTGTGTAGGTGTGTGTGTGTATGTGTATGTGTGTGTGTGTGTGTGTGTGTGTGTGTGTGTGTGAGTGTGTGTGTGTGACATTCACATATTCCTGTGTGTATGTGTGTCTGAGTTTTAGGAGTGGGACAGTGATACCCATGGTGGCTTTTGTTTTATGAGAATTTCTGTATGTTTAGGTCTACTGGTGCCTACCATTGTCATACTTGCTGTGCCCAGAGGACCCACCTCTAACTTACTTTTCACATTCTTTTTTCCGATCAAAGAATTTATGTAGGCATGTGATATAATTCTATTTTTTGCTGAAAGCTAAATGAAACCTCCCCACCACATAGAACCCTTCCTGGCATTGGTTTCTGTGGTTCCTGGTTTCTTCCTGACTCTGTTTCTCTTTCCCATCACCTCAGGACACCTGTCCCACCTCAGTCATGGACCAGCCACATAGAAGGCTGAGCTGACCAGTAGGAGTTCTGTGTCCACCCCTTACCATGTGCTGGAGATGAGCAGTTGTGGATTCTCTGCCTGCAGGGCCCTGAGCTCCATAATCACTGGGTCACTGAGAGGGGCCTGGTCCAGCCTGCAAGCACAAGAAGAAGCTATCTTTCCTGGGATCCACAAAAGAATCATGAAACATCAGAGTCCCAGATCCTTGACTCTGTTGTCTATAGATGGAAAGTGAGAGGTTTTATTAAGTTCATTCTCGAGCCAAATCCAGGACAAAGGATAGAGAACAGCAGGCTTAGCAGACAGAGATGTGTCCATGACACAGCCCTAGTGGAACGTGGTCAGTGTGCAGGGAGATCTGAAGCCAGGATGAGGACCTTTGGAACTTTCCAGAGCTGAAATGAGGGAGTGGCCTTTTATACCCTTTCCCACAGGTCAGTCACTGGAAATAGACTCTCCCAGGGAAGGGAACATGGATGTAGATGAGGGGACTCATATTGAAAAAGGGTCACAGAGCTGCTATCAGCATTCCCAGTAGACGGAGGTCATGGCCATAGCCCCATAGGGATTCTGGACAGAGAACCACCTCAGGCTCCTGTAGTGAAAGCCCATGACCCTCCAGGGCGTCAACCACTCTCTGTTCTAGAGCTTTCTCTAACTCTTCCTTTGCCTAGACTGCTGTCTCCATGTTGGCCCAACCAAATCCTATTTCTCTATCAGGCCTAGGGAAAGCACTCATGGGCCATCCAATAAAGCAGGCCCTCTTACAACAATACATTCTCACAATACTGTTGACTCCATAGTGTTCAGCAGAGTTTGGCAATGGTGTCATGGGCTGATGGGAGATCTTTATATTTCTTTTCCCACACAGCTTTAGCAGGAGAGAGCCATGTGTATTTGTGATTATATCCCTAGGTCCCAGACAAGTGCTTAGCACAGAGGGTCCTGATATGGATGCATGGCCGTATGTATTCACAAATGAATAAATGATTGAATCACTGTCCTAGAATAAGGCAATGAGTCTGGTAAGGTAATAGTGAGTCTGGTAAGATAATACCCTTGCTAATATATATGACTGCACAGTGCCCAGCTACCTACCTGGTATTTGATTTTATATATGTACACTTTATGTCATTAGAATCCATGAGGTGGGTGTGACATTCCACCTGACAGATGAGGAAACTGAATTTTACAAAATATGGTGACTTGCCCAAGTCTCAGGTATAAGTGGCACAGTTGGTCAGGAGCCATGCTGACTATGTGTTATCTGTCCCATTTCTTTTCCATATCCTGTATTCTTCACTCCCTCATGTCTCTTATTTTGCCCCTGCCTAGAATGGAAATCCTGGGTTTTACTTACCATAGGATTCTGAGTTTGCAGGCAGGACTTCTGAGTCCCTTACACAGCTGCCTCACACCATGGTCTCCCAGGTCATTCAGCTGCAGGTCTAGCTCAGTCAGGTTGGAGCTGGCACTGAGCACTTGGGCCAGGTCCGCACAGTGGCTGGATGTGAGGCCACAGTTGACAAGCCTGCATGGGAGATGCTCACCATCAGATTCTCCAGGAATCATTGCTCTTGGGAACAGAACTATGGTCTCCCTTTGTGAGCCCTCGCATGCGGTGTTATCAGTCCTTAGCTTTTCTAGTGCTTTTTCTAGTCTGGGTGGATAATTCCATGCTTCCCACAGCTGAGCTGCAGAATCGTGGAGCACAGGTTGAGATCCACTTCTCTGCTGTAACTGGCCATGGCAGAACTCCTCTAGCCCCAGGAAAACTAACTGGTGTATTTGAAGAGCCATCTGATATGTCATTCACCAGTCATAGACTAGGGCATGATTTCACATGACTAGTGTAAAGATGAAGTCTATAGAGTAGAAGGCTGGTTACAAGTGAGAGCAGGAAGAAGTGGGGATGCCATTCCCTGGCCTGGAGCTTTCTTCCCTCTGCTTCATTTAGCCTCCTCCTCTGTGCTCTTCAGCTCTCCTGCAGCCACTTCCTCAGGATGTTTGTCCCTCTGGAGCCCTCACAGGCCTGTTGTTAGCAATAGCTAGTGGGGCTCCCTGATGAATGTCAGTATTTCATGATCTCTAAGAATAGAATCCATTTTCCATTTCTTTATCATAACATTTAGGCCTCTATTACAGTTGTGGGCAAGAGAGTGAATATGTGATTAAAGGAAAGTCTCATCGTAGGTCCAGCTTTTGCCTTTGCTTTTCTGCCATCCATCTCTGCTTCAGGGAAGAACCCAGGCCAGACTCACCACAATGTCCTTAGTTGACATCCAGGGCATCTTAGTGTCCTACAGAGACTCTGAATTGCATAGTAGCTCATTGGGTTTCCACTTAGGTCGAGCACCTTCAGACTTCCTGTGAACTCAAGAGTGGAGAAGAGAATCTGCCAACTGGCATTAGTGATAGGAGTCCACCTGGACCTGAGGGAGAGAGATATTTGGTAGAGGAGGCAATGAAGGATGTGAATCATGTGTGCATGGTCTGATGTGCACAGCCTCACAAGGCAGATTAGGTTTCTGTCTGAGCATCAGGCCTCAATATGTCATCCCAGGATTCACCAGCTTCTACCTGCTCCTTGGCTCCAACATCTGGATCCTTTCCTGGGTGGTTCCTCATCTACATCCTTATCATAGCATTAGGTGTGCCCATTTTGTGTGTCTGTTTCTGACTCAGTCTGGGTGTGCTGGTGCCATTGTCAAAGGAGCAGCAGATGATGGTTAATATTTAAGCTGCCAACCTAATAGAAGGAAATTCTCTGAAGGGAAACCTCATTAGGCCAAGTCACAAGGCTACAGAATCTGGAATATCTTTTGCCTCTCTCTGTAAATTGACATATGCTACTGTAATTTCCCTTTACCACAATGTTTATCTCATAAAAAATTCTGACTTACTGGCATTTACATCTCTGGATTGTTATGAAGAATACTATTTCTTAAGCTGAATTGTCGAATTGATATCAATAATGTTAGCTTCTAAGAGTTTTAATGAATAAAAATGCATGTAAAAATGATACACAGCCAATGCCTATAAAAATAACTGAATTTTCCCTAGTTGACAGAACAGCTGTGCAATAGCTTCAGGGTGCTTTAGATTAGATCAGGTGACTTGCTAATGGTCTTTAAGATAAACTATTTCCAGAAAGGCAATCTTATCTACAAAGACATATAGCCAGTTTTCTGGTTTGTTGAACTAAGGTTAAAAGTGCAGAGAAACCTAAATGCTGCATGCAGTATCTTTTGCTAGGTCTGACTGGTAATCTAGGACAGCGGCTAACTCTCTTCACAAGTTCCTAACCTTGTTTTTCTGACATGACCATGTACCCTAAAGGCTCAAAATTCAGTAAACTAATGTTTTTTTATATACAGAAAATAAGTTAACTTCATAGTCCTGAGAAAGAGTTATAAATTTCCATTTTCTTGGTTTAAAGCCACACACAGGACAGAAAATACATTTTAATATTTAAAATGGTTTAGCATCACTATTGCCTTGCTGAATGCCAATTGACATAATATTGACAGACTTATGGTAATCTGAGCCCAAACCACAAACTTACAACTGAATCAAAGAATGCAGAGAAGCAACACTGCACCCTCTGAGTCTGAGATAATCCAATATTTACAATTCCTGATTGCAGAATATTAGTTCAAAATGCTTACTTAGTCATGAGTCATTGTAAATTGCCTTTCCCTTCGTGGGAGAATACAGGGCAGAAGGTCGAAGCAGCTAATACACTCATATAGGTTCTAAGTACCCAATTTTGTTGTTTTCTTGGACTCTCCAGTACTTTATGATTATGGCTCTTTTAAAAATCCCTTATAAGAATATATCTCAAGACATGAAATTATGTGACTGATCCTTTCTTTGCAGCTGTAAGTTACAGTCCACCAAGTAAGGAGCTAACTGAAGAAAAAAATACTTCTTCCTTGTTCCATGACAATTTATTTAGATTTACTGCATGTTAGTTGTCAGCGTGACTCTGATTTTAATAATTTACTTAAGAAATAGTATGTGACTTCAAATCTAACTCCTATATTGCCTGAAAAGTTTTGCAGGATACCATGAGAGGGAAAAACTTTAGAGAAGCATCTTAAGAGAATATAGAAAGGAAACCACCAGGAAAGTGTATAAGTGTCTCTTTTCCCCAAAACCTTCAGATAGAAAAGTCTTTGTGCACTGACTCCTGTATTTCTCTCAATACCCTGGGCAGCCTAGGAGTTGATTCTTCTCTAGACTGTAGTATAGTGTCCCACAGGATGTGAACAGGTGGCTAGTATCTTCTCTTTTTTATCTATAGTACCCAGCACAGGTCCTGGGACAAAAGGGGATCTTGGTAATTCAGAGAGTCTCTTCCTTTTGATGTCAATGTATCTGATTTCATTTGGAGCAGAATTCTAGAGTCTAAAGGAAAACTGGAAAGAGGAGATGGGAAGAGAGCTCAGGAGAGGTGGTTGAGAATGATTCCGTTGTGGGATGTTGAGCATGGTCATAAACTCTACAGATGTGCTGGTTCATATGTCACCACATCTTTGTAAGAGAAGGGGGAGGGGATAAATAGACACATCGACAGAAAAATAGATAGATAGATAGATAGATAGATAGATAGATAGATAGATAGATAGATAGATAGATAGAAGATAGATAGATAGAGACAGGGAGTGACAGAAACACACAGAGAGACAGAAGATGATAGGCAGAGAGAAACTAACAGATATACAGAGAGATAAATTGACAGACACACCAGAGGCAGAGAGAGAGAGAGAGAGAGAGAGAGAGAGAGAGAGAAGCAAGAGGAAGAGAAAGAAGAAGGAGGAGGAAGAGGAAGAAGAGGAATGAGAAGAAGGAGAAGACGGAGAAGAATGAGAAGAAGAAGAGCATATATACCACCCTGCATGGTAAGGGATTTCTTTAATGTCAATAACTAATCATACAAAGTCAGGAGACCCATGGATTTTTAACCAGCCTTAGTTACAAACTGCAAATGGCTGGGAGTAGCTATTATCTGGTGTGTGCAACATTTCATCCCTAATACTGTAAACAAAACAAGGCAAGAAACTCAAAAATAAAACCACAAGTCTCAAAACACAAAGGTGGCCAACTTTGACTGAAGCAGAAAGTATAGGATGCTTTCTTTTGCTTTTACAAACCAAAGAATGTTAAGGAAACCAAATACTGAAATTTAAAGGATTGTGTTTTTTAAAAAGTTTAATTAATTAATTGATTGATTGATTTTGATTTTGAGGCAGGATTTCTCTGTAGAACAGTTTTTGCTGTCCTGGAATTCCCTTTGTAGACCAAGTAAACCTCGAACTCGCAAGAGATCTGCCTTCCACTGCTTCCCAAGTGCTGGAATTAAAGGCATGCATCACCACTGCCTAGCTCCTTATATTTTACTTTATGTATTGTTCAAGGAAGTGTGTCACTGCGACGGCAGGCTTTGAGGGTTCCTTGGCTCAGGATACCACTGAAGGTATTAATCAACTTCTTGCGGCCGGGATATAAAGACAAAGCCACATCTCCCTGCATACTCCATGGTTCCCACCATGATGATAACAGACTGAATCTCTGAAACTGTTAGTGAGTCTTCTTTATAAAATATCTATTTTATAAGAGTTACCGTGGTCTGGATGCAAGCCCAGATTACTATACCAAGCAAAGTTTTTAATCACTATCAATGGAGAAAACAAGATATTACATGACAAAACCAGATTTAAACAATACATATTCACATATCCAGCCCCACAGAAAGTACTACAAGGAAAACTCCAACCCAAGGAAGCTAACCGCACCCACAAAAACACTGATAACCTCACAACAGCAAACCCCAAAGAAGGGAAACGCACAAACACTACCACCAAAAGTTAACAGGAATTAACAACCACTGGTCATTAATATCTCTTAATATCAATGGACTCAATTCATGTATAATAAAAGATACAGGCTAAGAAATGGATGCAAAAGCAGAATCTATCCTTCAGCTATATACAAGAAACACACCTCAACCCCAAAGACAGGCATTACCTCAGAATAAAGGGTTGGAAAAAGATTTTCCAATCCAATGGACCTAAGAAACAAACAAGTGTAATTATCCTAATATCTAACAAAATAGACTTCTGTTGACAGAGGTTTGTTTCTGTTTCACCCAGTCGTACAGATGTTCAGTCCCAAAGAAACACACAGAGGCCTACATTAATTATAAACTGGTTGGTCTATTAGCTCAAGATTTCTTATTAACTAACTGTTACATCTTACATTAACCCATAATTCTTGTTTGTGTTAGTCACTTGGCTTGATACCTTTTATCAGTGATGTATTCTCATTTGCTTACTCTGTGTGGGTGATGACTGTAGGCTGATCCTTTTTTCTTTCCAGTATTCTCCTGTTCTGATCACCTTGCCTATACTTCCTCCCTGGTTACTGGCAAATCAGCATTTTATTTTATTTTTACTTTTTTAAAATTTATTTTATTGAGTTCTACATTTTTCTCTGCTCCCCTCCCTGCCTCTTTCCACCCCCTTCAATCCTCCCCCAAGGTCCCCATACTCCCAATTTACTCAGGAGATCTTGTCGTTTTCAACTTCCCATGTAGATTAGATCCATGTATGTCTCTCTTACGGTCCTCATTGTTGTCTAGGTTCTCTGGGATTGTGATTTGTAGGCTGTTTTGTTTCTTTATGTTTTAAAACCACTTATGAGTGAGTACATGTAATAATTGTCTTTCTGAGTCTGGGTTACCTCACTCAAAATATTGTTTTCTAGCTCCTGTTCTGGTCGCAACCACATATGTAAAAGAAGCATTACTAAAGGTTAAATCACACATCAAACCCCACACACTAATGATAGAAGACTTCAACACCCCACTCTCCTCAATGGACAGGTCAACCAGACAGAAACTAAACAGAGAAACAAGAGAACTAACAGATATCATGACTCAAATGGACTTTACAGGTATCTATAGAACATTCTGCCCAAACACAAAAGAATATACTTTCTTCTTAGGACCTCATAAAACCTTCTCTAAAGTTAAACACACACTCAGTAACAAAGCAAACCTCAACAGATACAAAAAAAATTGAAGTAACCCCCTCACATATCTTATCAGATCACAGTGGTTTAAAGTCAGAATTTAACAACAAAACTAACCACAGAATGCCTACAAACTCATGGAAATTTAACAGTGCTCTATTAAACTACCCCTTAGTCAATGAAGAAATAAAGAAAGAAATTAAAGACTTCCCAGAATTCAATGAAAATGAAAGCACAACTATGGCACACTATGAAAGCAATAGTAAGAGGAAAGTTTACAGCACTAAGTGCCCACATAGAGAAAGTGGAGAAACTGACACTCAGCACACCTGAAAGTTCAATAACAAAAAGAAGCAGGCTACCCAAGAGGAGTAGATGACAAGAAATAATCAAATTG